GGATGTCTAAAAGGCATGACACTTGATGTGTTGACAACTGGGATGTTGATTTTCCTCAACCCCAAATCTGTTCCTTCCCTAGTGTCTAATTGTACCAGTATATGGCTCCTTCATCCACCAGATGCTTGGGATAAAAATTTAACTTCTTTCTCTCATGCCCAATACAACACCTAGCATGGGTCTTTAAAATATATCCTGAATCCAGTCACTTAAATACTCCACCACCAGCCACCAGCTTCACCCATGTAGACTATGTTAGTCAACTCCTTGGTCTCCTGCCTACATTCTTGCCCCACTGCAGTCTATTCACTTCAAAGTATATGTCCCATTACACGAAGACATATACTCTTTTTGTGTTCCACGGGGTCCTACATGATCTGGTCTTTGCTGTTTATCTGAACTTTGACCACTCTCCCCATTACTCCATTCCAGCCATCTCAGCTTTCATGCTAGCTTGGAATACCCAAGAACACCTCTACTTCAGTGCCTACTGTTTTTCTCTGCCTAGGATGATCTGCCAAATAATCACATGGCTCTTTGTCCTCAATACACCAGGCATCTACTCATATGTTTCCCTTCAAATTATTTTTCAAAAAACAATACTTTTTTTATTGCTTAACTAATTTTAATAACATGACATAAAACCCCTACACTTGATATAATCATTACACAAAACACTTAGATGATACAGTCTTCTTTTAAAATATAAAATAAGCAAGACATGTGAAAATAGATGTTTCAATTAAATAAATGAATTTTATTTATTTATTATTGACACTATTGCAGAAGTCTCCCATTTCCCCCACTTTATCCATCTCCCCCATAACCTTCACCACACTGTTGCCTGTGTCCATGGGCTATGTATATATGTTACTTGGCTACTCTCTTCACCTTCTTTTATCCAGTCCCCCCACCGCCCTCTTGTTCTGGCCTCTGTCAGTCTGTTCCATGTATCCATGCCTCTGGTTCTACTTTGTTCATTAGATTCCACATATAAGTGAGATTACATGGTACTTGTCTTTCTCTGACTCACTTCTTTTGCTTAACATAATAATCTCCAGGTCCAGCCATACTGCAAAAAGTAAGAGTTGTTTCTTTTTTACAGCCAAGTAGTGTGCCATTGTGTTAATGTACAACAGTTTTTTATCCACTCATCTACTGATGGGCAGTTGGACTGTTTCCAGATCTTGACTATTATAAATAATGTTACTATGAACATATCCCTTACCCAGATTGAGATTTCATGTTTTATCACCATGTGCAGTTATATATCTATGTAATTGTTCATCTTTGATTCCCACACTAGAAATTAAGCCCCATGATTATAGGTTAACTAGAGGCCCAGTGCACGAATTCATGCATTGGTGGGTCTGGCCAGCCCAGCCCCAATCAGCAGATCGGGCCGGGCCTGTGGGGAGGAGGAGATGGCGGGACTGATTGGGGCCCAATCAGGGCCAGGCTGACTGGGGGGAGGGGCTGCAGGTGATTGGCCAGTGGGCCCCACCCCTGATTGGGGTGAGGGGGCTAATTGGGGGTGGGGCTGGCCGTGGGGAGGGACTTTGGGCAGTGGGCCAGGTGAGCCGTGGGAGGGTGGCCAGCCATCCCCACCCCCGATTGGTATGCAGGGAGCCGATCAGGGGTGGAGCTGGCTGGGGGGAGGGGTCATGGGCCAATTGGGGTGGTGGGGGCTGATCATGGGTGGGTCCAGCCATGGGAGGGGCTGTGGGTGGTGGGCTGGCCGGACCTGCCCCTGATCGGGGTGGTGGGGGCCCATCATGAGGTGGGCTGGCTGGAGGGAGGGGCTGCAGGAGGTTGGCCAGCAGACCCCACCCCCTATTGGGGTAGTGGGGGCAATCTGGGGTGGGACCCGCCAGGGGGAAAGGCTGCGGGAGCTTGGCTGGCCGGCCCCACCCCCTGATCGGGCTGGTTAGCACTGGCTGCAGTGGGCATCATAGGGACCAGTTGTTCCATCATTATGGCATTCTGGTTACTGGCTTTTTATATATATAGATTACATATTGATTTCCTCCTTGCATTTGGCTATGCTTATTCATGTTCCTGTCAAGCTCTTCCTCTACAAAATACTATGCTACATTTTAACATTTAGCAAAAATAGCATTTAGTAAGAACCCCCCCAGACCTTGAGAACCTTGTCCTATCTAATATCACCAAGCATTCTGTGGCAACTACACTCTCTTACTTGCATCACTAGATGCCCTTGCTTCAGAGCCTTTGCATTTGATATTTCCTCTGCTACAATTCTCTTTCCTGCGGTACTTTTATTACTAACTCTCTCCTTCCTCACAGAAGGGTCTACTCAAAAACTATCAGAGGACTTGTCCCTAACCATCCTATATCAAGTTACGCCAAGTTTTATCAATTTCATCCCCTTAGTCTTTTTTAAAAACCTTTTATCAGTTGACTATTATCTTTTCCACCAGAACATCGTTTTCTTGAGGGCAAAGTCTTTTTACTGTGCATGGCTGTCTCCCTTACAAATGTCTATTTTAAAACAGGGCCTGAGATAGACACTCAGTAAATACTTGTGTCTTTTATTGAATTTTATAATCTTTAGATGCTTTTGAGAGTTAGAGAAAGGCTCTCTATCTGCCTGAGCTCCGTTATACTAGTACATGCTCCAGTTGGCTGTTATACTGCCCACTCCCATTGAGTAAAAAAGGAATCAAAATCAAGAAACAATGGCCACTGCAGAAGGAAAAGATAGAAACACTAGACAATCAGAGGCATTTGACAAGTTTGCATTACCTCCTTAACTTAGCTGTTGGCTAGTTTTGAATCAAAATTTTTTCTTTTAATGACAATAGCATATGATAATCCCACTGCACCAGAGAATGCTGGAGGCTCATCATCGTCCATGTTCTCTTCTTTATGATACCCAGATATTATGTTCCCAGCTTCCTGGGGACTTGGGTAGAGCTATTTTATGGTTTTACCCAGTGTAAAGTGGCTTACAGCACTGTGCCACCTCTAGGTCTGGCCTATTAAAGAAAACAAAACAAAATAAAATAACCCTTTTGCCTGCTAGATATCAATGCTTAGGAGAACCTTGGGATTCCCATGTTGAAGTCAGCACACCCTCTATTTACCTGAATCCCTGAATGACAGCATGGAGCTGCCACTAAGTTGAACACTTGCCTATTGATTTTGAGCCATTATACATTGTGGGTTTATTTGTTAACATTCAATATTTGGCATATACTTATTTTTTTACACAGTCTAACTGGCTTTATTTGTTTATTTATTTACTAGAGGCCCGATGCACGAAATTTGTGCAAAAGTAGGCCTTCCTTCTCCCAGCTGCCAGCATCAGCTATCCTCTGGCACCCAGGACCCGAGCTTCCCTCGCAGCCCTGGCTTTGTCTGGAAGATTGTCCAGAAGGATGTCTGGTCTAATTAGCATATTATGCTTTTATTATTATAGATTTTAATAAATTTATTGGAGTGACATTGGTTAATAGGATCATATAGGTTTCAAGTATGCATTTCTATGATACAAGATCTATATATGGCACATATTTATACTTATTAAAAATTCATTGCTTATATGCAATTCAAATTTAACTACGCATCTTGTATTTTTATTTGCTGAGTCTGGCAACCCCACACTCAAAGCCCTTACACAGAAACTTGTACATGAATGTTTGCAGCAGCATTATTCATAACAGCCAAAATGTGGAACATCTCAAATGTCCATCAGCAGATGAACAAAATATAGTATCCCATATAATAAAAGCCTAATATGCTAAGTGTCTGGTACTCTGGTCATCTGTTCAACCAATCAAAGCATAATATGCTAATGATATGCTAAGATTGCTCAACCACTCACTATGATGTGCACTAACCACCAAGGGGTAGACAGTCAACCGGTCAACCAGTTGCTATGACATGCACTGACCACCGGGGGCAGACACTCCAACCGGTAGGTTACTTTGCTGCTGGGGTCCAGCCTATCAGGACTGAACAAAATGGGCTGGACATGCCCTGGAGTCCTCCTGTGGTCCCTCCTGGGCTGGCTAACCTCCTGCATCCCTCCCCGGCCCCGATTGTGCACTGGTGGGGTCCCTCGGCCTGGCCTGCACCCTTTTGCAATCTGGGCCCCCTCAGGGAATGTCAGAGAGCCAGTTTCGGCACGATCCCACAGGTCAGGGACTCTAGTACATTTATAACTATAAAATGAGAATTATATCACAATAAAGCTGTTTAAAAATAAAAGTCCTTACTGCATAGCTTCATGTCCCTGCATGTAGCCTCTGGGTCATTGCTCTGATGTCTTTGCTACAACATGGGAAGGTGTTAAGCAGTGAGGGAGTTAAATTGTGGAAAGAACTTTGGAAAACATTTTTTTTACATTTTTATTTTAGCTAGTCACAGGATTTTCTTACTTTCTGTCTATCATAAATTTGTTGTAATGTGAAGGCAGTATCAACATCTTTGTCTTTTTTTTTAAGTATACACAATTGTTATTGCTATGACAACTTACCAGTAGAAAAGTAAAATTCTCTGACTATTTTATTTATAAAATTTAGGTTTTAATGCTTGGCTCTGCAGTTCAGGTGACAATACAATCGATTTTAAAGTTTTTATTTATAAAAGATATGAATTCTTTTCCTAGCCGGGTGACTTGGTTGGAGTGTCATCCTGTACACCAAAAGGCTGCAGGTTTAATTCCTAGTCAGGGCACATACCTAGGTTGCTGTTTCAATCCCTAGTCAGGGAGCATGTTGGAGGCAGTCAATGTTTTTCTCTCACATTGATGTTTCTCTCTCTCTTTCACTTTCCCTTGCTCTCTCTCTTTAATATCAATTTAAAAAATATCCTTGGGTGAGGATTAAGAAAATGATATGAATTTTTAAATTGAACTGAGCAGTCATTAGAGTGATTGCATTAAGCTATTTTTCCTATGAATAGATGGATTTTTTACATTCCTGTTTTATTTTTTAAGTTACACAAAACATGAGCAAAAATCTTTTTCTTTATAGATATCAGTGAACAAAATCAAACAATTTTTATCATATATACTGGAACGAAGAAAATTGGTCAAAGTAATGAATAAAAGAGAAAATCTCTTGGAAAAAAAGAAGAATCAACATAAATTAAGAATAAAAGAAATTCGAAATAAAGATATCTCAAAAAGAAATAAAAATTATTGTAAGTTGAATTGCCTTTCACATGTAAATGTAAAATAACTGTATGTAATCTAAAATTGAATTTTAGAGCTACTGTTTTAAAAGTCTTAGGATATAGTAGTAAATATTTATATATACAAAAGCCTTAAATTTAGCAGTTTCTGACCCTCATTTTAGATTTAAGAATTTGTACTGATGAAAATAAGCAAGATTAATAAGTAGAATTCCTGGGGAGGGGGGGAATATCAAAAAATTATGCAGATAAAACATTTATTAGCTATTCTGCTAATTGAAACCCTTATACTTTGAAGAAAATCAAAATTAATGTAATACTCTTATTTTCCCTAGTCTATCTGAAACTCCCCTGGTAAAGACATGCCTGATTAATGCATCAATTTCTCTGGATGCAAGAATGGTCTCTAGACTCTAGAGGGCCACAATGGGTTCTTAAACTGGACCGGAGGGCCGGAACAAAAGCATGGATGGAGTGTTTGTGTGAACTAATATAAATTCAAAGTAAACATCATTACATAAAAGGGTACGGTCTTTTTTTTCAATAGTTTTATTCATTTCAAACGGGCCGGATCCGGCCCGCGGGCCGTAGTTTGCCCACGGCTGGTCTAGACAATATAAACAAGGTCTGCATAGATTCTGTCTATATAAGAGTTAACCAGTGCTCAATCATAAAATTTAAGAGTCAATTTCAACATTTTATTTAAGTCTGATGCATGAAAGCTTCTCTTTTCTAACATATGTTTGAATTTATATATAAGAGTTCTGACAGAAAAAAATTAAGATCAGTTTTTAATGGCATTATAAAAAATTATATAAACATCTCTTTAACCTATTTTAAATCTAAGTGATATACATTGAAACATTTCACCTGACATTTTTTTTTATACATCAAAACATGGCCTGCCTTTTATTCAGCATAGGTACACTGATTAGCATTTGTAGTATAAACCTCACTCAAGCTGAAACATTTATGATTTCCCATCTCAAGTATTTAATAAAGTGAGCACTAAAGACATTTATGGAGCAATCTGTGGGTAGAATCCTGCCATATATTTGCAGACTTTTCCCCTACTCATTCTAGATCAGTGGTTCTCAACCTTCCTAATGCCGCGACCCTTTAATACAGTTCCTCATGTTGTGGTGACCCCCAATTTCATTGTTGCAAATTGAACATAATTAAAACATAGTGATTAATCACAAAAACAATATGTAATTATATATGTGTTTTCCGATGGTCTTAGGTGATCCCTGTGAAAAGGTCCTTCGACCCCCAAAGGGGTTGTGACCCACAGGTTGAGAACTGCTGTTCTAGATGCTTCACCTACAATTAAATCGAGTAATTTTTAGTGGCCATCCTTTATCAAGTTTTTTCATAGTATTTAAGTTACACAGAAACACAATTTCTTTCTGCACTTATATTTAATCAGTTTATATATTGTTTTATTAAATTCTATAATGATAAAAGTACAACTGGTACAAACAGGTTTAAGAACAAGCATTCCTGATTTTTGGTAAGCAAGGGATGGGAACAGAAGTTCACATATGCACAATCCCGCATGCTGCAAGAATGCTATATGCTGTGGACTTCAGTAATTTGAGTAGAATAAATGAAAAGAATTGGTTAATTTGCAAGTAAGGTAGGCAGTGGTTGTTTAAAAAAGCCTTTCCTGTTTAAAAGAGCAAATAATGTCACCCTTCAAATGAAGTTTCTTTCCCTTATATGCAAGTGGTTATAGTATGTCTAATAATCCTATATAATAAAAGAGTAAGGGGAAGAGATCAACCGAAGGACTTGTATACATGTATATAAGCCAAACCAATGGACATGGACAACAATTTGTAATACCTTAACTAATAATTTAAAAAAAGAAAAAAAATCAATAAAACATTTAATAAATAAATAAATAAATAAAAGAGTAGTATGCAAATTGTCCCCTCGACCGGAGTTCTTCCGGGAGTTCAACCAGGGGGTGGACCGGCCAGGGGTAGGGAGGGAGACCCCAGCTCGCAGCACTTGCAGGTGGCCAGGGGAAGGGAGGGAGGTCCGGCTGGCAGCCAGCAGCCCCTAGGGACCCTACCAGTGCACGAATTCCATGCACTGGGCCTCTAGTAATAAGTAATAAACTAACTCTGAGCATTTTCTATATTATTTCAGTGCTTTATTCAATTTAAGGTAGTTTACTGTGGTCTCCAATCTGATCTATAAGATGTGAAACCTGCAGTACAGCAAAAATAAAATAATTTGTTTAGCATCACAAAAACAATGTTTAGTAGGGAAACTGAAATTTGAACTTAGATGGTCTGGTGACAAAGTCCTCCAGCTCTTAGCCATTATGCCATATGCCTGTCACAAAAGAAAGCTGACAATATCATGAAATTTTAATCCTATGTGTCTCAAAAGAGTTTGGGGGAAATATTGAAGTTACACAATAAAGATACTGCAATTTCCTGAGTACTAACTCTACTTAAAGTTTTTAAGGGAAAATAAATAATGGTAAATAATTAACATTTTTATTTTAGAACTATGTAATAGCTATAATGTATTCAAGACATTTCACATTTTGAATTATCAAACCTAAGACTTTAAAAATTGTCTTCCTGTCCTCCAGTCTTCTAGGGAGTGTACATGCATTCATTCATTGCTGCCTATCTAAATGCTCTAAGGACATTTGAAAAGCCTTGTCTTACAAGTCATAATATCCATTCACCAAGCTTTACATAACTTAGAAAATGTATCCTGCCAGAAGTAAATATAGAAGAGTTATTACTGCTTATTGTTTTTTTATGAGAGTCTTGATTTAACAATGACTTTTTTAATGTTTAAATCTTAATATTTTAAGAGCATTCTTCTCCATATTCACCCCAAAAGACTGGCTTGCTGCTTAATTCAAGAGTTGGTTCTAGATATACATAAAAATGTTGATGTGTGTGTTACTCAAAGTATCAGGTAGGGTTTTGACAGGAAACAAATGGCATGTTTAAACTGAGTCATTTGAGAAAAATTTAATAAAGGGACTATGTCTAAAGGCCCAGACAATGTAGTGGGAAACCACAAAGTATTTTCCAGGTTGGAACAGTAATTACCACCCCTAGGTCTGAGTGGTCACAGGGCAATAGTGGCTACTGGAATGCTGAGAAGGGAAGCAAAGTGGAGAGGGCTGTCTGACACAACTACGACCTCAGGTCAAAAGACAAAGTCAGCCTGCCACACCCAGAATGAGAAGCCAGGGAATAAAATACTCCTACCTCATGCTCTTCCTACTCTCCATCCCTCCTGCTGGTGCCTTTCAACCCAACCTAACCAGAAGCTGGAGAAGAAGAGAGTTCATTGATCCAGTCCATGTGGGTTTGTGTGCCAGGGAACAGAATAGAGAAGAGTTGATCTAGACAGGCAATCAGAAGACATTCAACACACCAGGTTTTCCAGACAAAGAAATTAGATGGCATGAACTAAAAGGATGGACTTTTAGTGATATGGAATAGTAGCATAGTTATTAAAGGTAAAATTTCAGGATATTAGAATTATGAAACTTTAGAAGTCATCTAATCTAATGTCATCTTTCATCCGGTATTTCTGGCAGATGACAACCAGCTTCTACTTAATACTGGTGACTAAGCTCACTACATCATATAAAGCAGCTTATGACATTATTTAATACATCTCTTTCTTATGTTCTTAATGTAGATTAAACCAAAATCACTTGCCAACAGTGATCTTAAGTAGTAGACTATGTTGATATTAAACTCTGCCATTTGGAGCCAGACCTAATCATCCTGTTATTGATTGCTCCACGCAGAGTACAGTGGAGCTGTTACCCTACCTCCCTGAATACTGTGGCTCATACGTATTGTTTCTAAGATCCTGCTAGTTGTTCTTGGTACCATTATCAGTGATGACATATAATGAACTTACAGCAAATTGAAATATCTGCCCACCTAAAATACTAAACCAGTGTATCAGTCAGGGCTCAAGCAGAAAAAAAGAACCAATAGGAGATATATGTTAAAGGATTTATCGCAAAGCATTGGTGTGCATGATTGCATGGGGCTGCCTGTCAACAAGGGCAGGCTGGAACTCCTAGTCCAGCAGCTGAAGCCACTGTTTACAGGTTAAATTTTTCCTTCTCAGGGAAACCCCAGCTCCATTCAACTGATTAAGCCTTTCATCTGATTAATTCAGCCCAGCCCAGGTTATCTGGATAATCTCCCATACTTAAAGTCACCTGCTTATGGGTTTTAATAACATCTATAAAATACCCTCCCAGCAATAACTACTGTTTTATTTAATAACTGGGGACTGTAGCCTAGGTGAATAGACACATAAAATTAATCATTACAACCAAGTATCTTCCAATTCTTATATGTTCATCTAAATATTTGAATCTAAGCCTAAGATTTTAGATTTATGTATATTAAATTTTATTCTGTTTATTTTATACTATTATTCTAACCTATTGATTACAGCAGCTAACTCATCAGCTATTCTCTTCTATTTTCTGTCATTCAAAATGTTGATAATCATGCTTTCCAATCTTTCGCTCAAGAAGTTAGCAAGACAGGGTCAACCTTAGAGCCTTAATAATCCACCTTCAATAATCCACCATAAATTTCTAGAATTATATTTACCCACTTATCAACCAGATACAAGTCTACATGTAATGAGGTTGAAAAAATAACATTTTATTAACCAGAATACCTTGTAAAGTGATCACTGTCTTTGTTTTGGAAGTTGGCTTAATATGCATTTGTGGATAGAAGGTAGGCAAACACCATTTTCTGATGCCCCACCTCTAATCCACACAGAAGCCTAGTGTCAGCTGTTTCCAAGTATTCAAAAGTGGAAAGAAATTGCACTGTAGAGCCAGAAAGAGAAATCTTGTCATTTTACTTTTGAAGAGTAATAATAAAAGAGAATAGAAGAAAAAATATGGAGAAATTAAGGGGTCAGAAAGATGGTTATTATGCCAATTTAAGAAACCAATAAAACATCAAAGTTGGAGAACCCAA